GACTAGTGATAATCAAAATTATTCTTATTGTTCAATCACACTTATTAGCTCCTTTTGGCATTGAATTAAATGCTAGCGGTGACGCTTTGCCCGGTAAGAATATCTTGTACGTTTCTGTAAACTTCGTTAATGGGAGTAAGTTTCTGTCATCTCTTTTTGACCATCTTTTGTGTGCGTCTCTATTTTTTAGATTCTATTATTTTAATTTAATTTGTGTCTAAATTCCAAGGTCAAATATATGTCGGTAGATTCGTTGTTGTGCAGCGCAACATTGATACCAGAAGTAGGCTTATAGCAGAAGATTGGGGAATCAAGACGAAATAGAAAAAATTGAAATAATGAAGAAGAAAAACAGAAATAAGAAGTGGATTCCGGTTAAAATAAAGAATGTGACATGAAATCAAAAACAAGAGAGAAAAGAAGAAGAATAGCGACACTATCCAACAAGAATTGAAAGGATTTAGAGACATAAAAATGGCGATGACTGGAAAACAAATTGTTGAAAAAGAGATTATTACATAAGTTGAAGAGACAGGAATGAATTTGGACGTCTCAAGGATGGATTAAGCAACTATTAAAAGAGAAATAATTGGCGCCTTCTATGGAAAAGGAAAACTTGCAATTGAAATCTTTTAATTTTCTCTTTTAATATCTTTACATCTGTCGTCTTTCTCATTTCTGCTATTTATACTGTTTTGTTTTTATTTTATTGCTTTCTTCTCTTTTGTTTCACTTTGACATTTTCCCCTGTTAAGAATTCCATAGACACTATCATGATCTTCAAATATAGTTAATTTGAGAAAAGAATTTATTCACCATTGAACATTATGCACAAAACTGGGAAGTAAATTTCACTATGTCATTCAACCCAAGCGCTTTCTTTTTCCATTTCTTACCAACCAGGCACAATCATGTCCTCTCGACCAGACACAATGAGGTCAACTTGCATATACTGAGAAAGAGAGAGTATAGTAGAAATCGTCTTGTCATTTTATTGCTAACTAGCAGTAGAGCCCGGCGTTGCCCGGGGATGTAACAGTAAGAGATAGATCAAGTATCGACCATCATAAAGACTGAAAAATAAAATTGACAAAGATTATTGTTTAAGGTTGACGGACACACATGTCTTAATTAGTTTTTTTTACGAATTGGTCAAACCCAAACTCAAACAAAAACATTGTTTTCAATCGTTATGGATCTACCGATTGAATAGAATTTTATTATAAACAATTGTCTTGTAAATGGAAATTTTAAAGCATTTTCTATGTAAAAATAAAGAAAAAAGTGTGCAAGACAATAAGAAACACTACCTGCTAAAAAAAAGTGAAGTTTTGTTGAAATCGGTTGAAAAATATAGGAAATCCGATCGCATATATAAACGAAAACACACACACACACACACACACACACACACACACACACACACACACACACACACACACACACACACTCTGCATTTTATAATAAGTAAGATTATGAGTCCACGTTTCTTAAATTTTTCTCCTGATTTGTAGCATAATAGACGATAGAAAATAAAACACAGAAATCGAATGGAACATTGAAATAGCAAATGTCTTAGCTAAACTTCACATCTTATTAAGAAACTGGAAGACTTCATTAGAAACAAATAAAAGAAATACTCTGAGGTTTTGGAGAGGATGCAAACAAGGAGGAAGCTTATACTTAACATCAGGAAGTGGCAGCTGAAGTTTCTGGGACACGTAATGAGAAAGGAGGGCTTGGAGAATCTGATACTCACAGGTCCAATAGAAGGAAAGAGAGACAAGGGAAAACAACGCATGACATACATAGCAGGCTTAAGCAAGTGGATGACAGACAGAACATGGCCTGGGGTTAGTAGGAAAAGGACAAAACTTATTGAGAGTTACAAGAGATAGGGAGAAGTGGAGAGCCATGACCGCCTACGTCCTGAAGGGACACGGCACATAAAAAGAAAGAAAACAATGGGAAGAGAAAATCAATCTTATCTTCTCACTGTGGTGCGGGTTGACCTATCGGTAAATTAAATTCACGAAGCAAGTTCAAATGATTTACATAGTTTCGGTTCACTTCGGAAAGGCATGACTTCACTTCCCTTATTAGGTCTGGTTAAATATTACCAGTTGTCTGTTCTCCAGCTGCGAAATTCAGTTCATCTAAGAGAAATATACACGACTCCACAAAAAAACTGCGGCTAGGTTTGGTTTGGTTTGCTTTACGGCATATCAACCTCAATGGGTTATTTCATGCCGACAAGATAATAATTTTCTTTTCAAACTGGTAATAATTTTTTTTTCAAACTGGTAATAATTTTTCTTCAAAAACGTATTGCTGGTAATAATTTTTTACAAAGTACTTCTGCTATTTATTTTTTTGGTATTAAAACTTTTTTTTTGGGGGGGTATTAAAACCTATTTTTACACTTTCATAACCGGTGCTACCACCCCAGGTCAGGGTAGATCTGGGAACACCATCAAAACTCCTGATCAGAGGCCTTGCTGTTGAACGTAGTTTATTGTCTTACCCAGGACGCTGATGTAGTTTATCGTCATACCCAGGACAGCAAAAACTGCGGTTTAGTAGCCGTCTTGGTTGTCTCAACTTGATAAGCTACCGAGGAAGTTTGCTAAGCCTAAACATCTCCATTTTAAACAACTGGAGCGCCGAGAGGATGAAACGACAGTTGGTGAAGATCGACATACCTTTCCCTCTTGATTCTTGCAAGCGAAGAACAAACTAAATTTTTTTAATCAGGTTAAATTTGGACACAAAATAATTTATTTTTTATTGTTACTCAAATAACCCATTGACGTAGTGGAATTCTTAATTGAAGCTAACACGTTTACTTTGTTAAAGTATTCATCTGAAGAAAAATGGCGTATAGATGTGAGCTTTTGTCTAAGTGTATCTGTGCTGAACTATTTCCATTTTGTACATAGATTCAATTATTTGCTCGACGCTTTTGTAAATATATTCAGTAGTCAATCTGATATCGTGTCTTCTGTCAATGATTATATATAAATATTCACAATCAATTTATCAGTGTAAAAATAAGTATTTAGGGAAGTTGTACCTTGGGGAAATCTATACACGAAGGCAAGCAATAATGAAACTGTTTCACACACTATCTGTATGTTTCGAGAGAGGATAGAAATTGCTCTCAAAATGGAGACATTGACTGATTAAGTGAAATAAAATATAGAAAATAAAATATATTGAGTGGCAATAAATAAATAATATCACCTGAAAAAATACACATCTTACTATATACGAAAGAACGGGGAAAAAAGAAAGCTTTTGAATGACTAATATGAAACAAGTATTTTACTTGTAATTCATTTAAGATGAAACATTTATAATCAATAAAAAGACAGAAATGTGACTCGATAAACGGAAATCAGTAAAGGGAAATGAAACGTCACATATCAAGTTTAGTCTGGCACATGGCCATAGAGCTCTAATTGAGGATCGAATTAGTCTGTGAAATGACGGAGTAGGTAATGGCTGCTCCAGTTACTGTTACGCAGTAACTACTTATTTAAGACGTTGCATACTGAGAAAGACAATATTCGGAAAATGAAAAAATTGGACCTGGTCTGAACAGTAATATCGATAAAAACAAACACCAGCTGATATGTTTAGAAGCAGAATGCAAACATTATAGAATCAGATTTGTTGTCAAGAGTAAATGGAGGAATAATATACATCGATACTGGAATGTATCAGATCATGTGTCTGTAATACAGCTCACTGTTCAAGACAAAACGTAGGAATGTCAAATAACAGAAAGGATCCAGAATGCCCAGCTAACAAAACCAGGGAGTTTTACTTTGAAAAGTCTTCGAAATGTCTCGAGGTCATCCAAGAACCACTATAGCCACAACTCTGAAGCGAGACATTCAAAGAACAAGGCAGGAAGATCACATTTTCTCTTTGGAGAAGTTTACAATCAAGGAAGGTCTGCGACAAATCCGCAAACTCGCAAAGGACAGAGAAGGCTGGCAAAATATTTTCGAAACAGTAGACAATTTTACTGAAGATGTTAATTCATGACCTCAAATCGAAACAGTTTTGATGATGATGATAATGATGATGATTTATTGTCAAACAAGTATTAATGGAAAAAGCAAAAATTAACATTCATTTAAGACGTTGAATACTGATGAAGACTATATCCAGAAAAACGCTATTGAACTTCCAACGTCATGACTCATGAGATGGAAACAGTTAGCAATCGTCATTATGGAAAAGCTTTATAAACTATGGATAAGAGGAGACACCGAGAAGAGAAGATTAAAGTTGTATAATACCTTGGTGAAACCAGTTTTAACCTACAACTGCGGAACTTGGGACCTTACAATGAAAGAAGAGCAGGAGCTAGACAGATTCCACAGATGGCAACTGCGAATTCTGATAGAAAAAAATGCCCTTATAATATCTCCAACAAGAAATTGTACAGCAGATGTCAAGAATCTCATTTGTCTTTGTTCATTTTGAAAATAAGATGGAAACTTCTTGGATATATTTAGCGAATGGATCCCGAATGCCCAGCTAACAAAGCCATGGAGTTTTACCTTGAAAAGATTGACTTCAAAAAGTTCAGAGGTCATCCAAGAACCACAATAGTCACAACGCTGAACCGAGACATTCAAAGAACAAGGCAGTTAAGATCCTACTTTTTTCTTTGGAGAAGTTTACAATCAAAGAAGTTCTTCAACCAATCCTTAAACTCGCAGAGGACACAGAAGGCTGGCAAAATATTGTCCAATCAGTAGACAATGTCATTGAAGATGAGAGAACATGTTAATTCATGATTTCAAATCGAAACAGTTTTGATGCTGATGATGATGAATGACTATGCTCACCATTGTGCAATGGTAAACAAGTAAATATTTAATTCTTCTTTTATATGGAATGTCTCTTCAGGACATGATCGATCATGGCTCTCCATGACTTCCTATCATTCTAGCTCGAAGTAACATTTTATTATTATGCCGAGTTTACGACCATATCACGTTGTAACACCAGTTTTTGTCCAATCACCGAAGGTAAGAAACGTCGAGCCTGATCAGTAACTAGATGGATGATCGCTTGGGAATACCAGGTATTGTATGTTGACCAATTGTCGAAGACGATGAAAATATTTACTTAACGGAAAAACGGTTTAGATAAAACACGCACCAATAAAAATAGATTAAGGTCGTGTTAGACGAATTTTATAATGAAAAGATCTTGGAGGCCTCGAAAATCAGCTTTTAAAAATCTTTTTTTTTCTCTAACGAAATTTTGGTTTTCAGCTTCGCATTCAGTCTTTGAATGTAACAGTCGACTAACGTTTTACGGCGCAGAAAACTGAAATTGGAGTACCAAATCAGTTTTTGCTCACTTTGAGAAATGCATGAGTCTATATCTTATTCCTAACCTTCGTAATTCACCAAATTCACGATAAAATTAGTGTTTGGAAACCGAAATCGGCTGAGCTCTGTAGCATTGGTTGGTAACTAGTCTAGGAGAATGACAAATCAGATTTCGAAACAATGAAAAAAATCAGCGGAAACCACTTCACTGTCTTTACAAAAGCAACGTGACAGCGCATAACTAGAGTTGTTAACGATATGTGATCTCTCTAGTTTTCAAAAAGCAAAACTGTTTACTTTTTCACACAGCTAAACATAAAAATGATAATATTTTGATATATAATTGCGTAATTTTTTTAAGCATTTCACCCCAAGCAAGGCGGGAGTGCTACTATCACGCAATGGGTCACAGAGAATGAGAGCAAGAGTAAAGACGTGTGTTTGAGGAAAAGAATATAGAGAAGGACGGGGATCAGGATCAAGACATCAGAAGATGTCGATTGACATTACACTTGAATATTTGAAGATTATAGCTATCAGCGAAAGAAGAGAGTTTCACTGTCGGGAAGTGCGAGAGAAGAAGCTGTTGGAGTAGAAGAGGCGGTTTTTTTATGTATATTCTAATTTAGCTATTTCAACAGTAAACGGGTGGGACGTAGATGCCAATTAAAGAACACGCTTAAATTCATGTAGTCGAGGTACCAGGAAAAAAATCCTTGGGGCAGTTGCCATGAAAATATTTATTGACGACACAGGAGAGACAAGCTACTTCTCGTCGGCGAGAAAGTGACTGAAGGCGTGATTCATGATTAAGATCGATTACATTACAGATAACGTCTTTGGATTTTGCCAAGGATCTCGAGATGTACAAACAGGGGCAGTGCGTCGTGAAACGTTAGTCGACGATCGTATTCAGAGATTGAAAACCGAAATTTCGTCGGAGAAAAAAGAGAATAGTAAAAACTGATTTTCAAGGTCTCCAGGTTGTTTTTGTTATACAATTTTTCTAACACGATCTTGACATTTTTGTCTTGGTGCCAGTTTAATCTCAAGTTAATCTTCATCACCGAGTTTAATCTTAAGTTAATCTTCATCACGTACCACATAGATTAACTTTTGAATCCAAGTAAAATCTGCGATTAGATAAAATTATTTTCAGCGGTAATATTTTACCGCAGGCATCAGGTAGTACCAGACGCACTTCACTTGTACAGTATCTTTCGTAAGACGAGAACAAAAAGTCGAGTAGACAAAAAAACTGTCAAAACACGATTTTTTTACCTATATTTTCGACCCTTTTGACAGTGCCAGGCTTAGCAAAACTTATTAAATAATCTTGATGTCGTATCGTCATATATATTTAGATAACAGTTTTCTATATTAAATCGCTTTCATTAGGATTGAAAAAGAAATTAATAATAACAGCCACCAGTTCATAATCTCAGACGTGAGTCCAACAGTGTTATAATAATGTAATAATTCTATTGAATTCAACAAAAGCGAGTTCCTGTCGGAATTTCTGAAGGGTCATCATTATCTACATTGCAAATAGTTTTTCCTTCTTTGTTGATTTTATTTAATTATTTTTTTTAACGTTTCACCCCAAGCAAGGCGGGAAGGGGTTACAGAGAGTTGGAGCTAGAAAAAATAGGAATGATAGAGGAAAGGATGAAGAGAAGGATAGGGGATAGATCAAGACATTTGGAGACGTCAATTGACATTACATTTGAATAGTTGGAGATTATAGCTATCAGGAAAACAAGAAATGGGGAGGGAGTTCCACAGGCGAGAGGTGCGAGACATGAAGCTATTGGAGTAGAAGAGACGTCTACATTTAACAGTTTCGATAGTGAAAGGGTGTGAACGAGATGCCAGCCTAGTAGAACGCTTAAATTCATGAAGTTTGGGAACCAGCGAAAGCAGCTCATCGGAGCAGTTACTTTTTTTGGAGTTTGTCGACCCAAGTAACTCCCAAGATACTGAAGTTACAAATGCTATATAACCATATTTACAAACCAACGCTTTTATCTACTAGACGATTATCCCATGGGACAATTCTAATCCAAGAACATATTTATTGTCTGCACTTGCCACTGTAGTTGTTGCTGTTAGAACTCTTTACATCTATTGCATGTCTTATTGCCGAAACCATGTTGTGAAGCTTGGCGCTTTCAGTCTTTTCCTTCCTTCCTTCCTTCCTTCCTTCCTTCCTTGACGGCTCCCAAATGGTATTATGAGTTTCTAGATATCACTATGTGCTATGTAAGGTCTTATATATGAAATATTCTGATAGGATCAAATTTATCTCTTACTTTTCTAAATCAACAATACACGCGACCATAAAAAGAATCATTTAGAATGAAAAGGTTTTATATGAAATCATAACGCCATTATAAAAAAGTTCTTGATATCTCTAAACACCCATTCACTGTTCCAACGGCGTAAGTTCTTCTCTAAGCCACTCTCATCTACGCTGCTTTCCTTTTCAAAATTGTGCGTAAAATTGCTGAACGATCGATACGTCTATCTTTTTACTCTTTTCTTTTCTTTCTCGGATTTGCTCTGTAGCTCTCAGTCTTTTATTGGTGTTTTCTTGATTGCTTGGCCTTAGCATTTGTCTGTTTCCGCTCGATAGGCGTAACTGGCGGTCACTTCTTCCAAATCGTTGATTGCAAATTTATCGAATATAACAGCTTTGGTATTCAATGTTTCATTCACGTTACTTTTCTAACGTCGTTCTGTTTATCAGTTGTTTTGTGGCGATATAATTCGGTGATGCACCGCCATGTTGCGTTCGTTTTTGGTTGGTCGGTTTAAGCGTTTAGCAACGGGCTGACTGTTGTAAGGCTAGGCAGCATACCAATTGAAGACTCCCCTCCACCCCAAAAGAAAGTCCATTTCAGAGTCATACGTAAAAAATCGTTAAAGGCACACACATTCTTTTACCTCATGCACACATATACGCTCATTTACGTGTACGTGATGGCATTTATGTGTTTATGTTACTTCCGCAAATTTGGACGTGAAGGTAAAAATAAACCAGAAAATCAATAAACAAAAGAGAGCATTTCGTGGTATTATAGAAGATAGTAGAATCTATCTATCTATCTATCTATCTATCTGAAGAAATATAGTTTTAAGGTGTGCTATATTTATGGGATAAAGTGCTTAATATCAGAGATAAAGCTAATGAAAATATAAATATAACAGTGAACATTGAAATCAACACTCGGGGCGACAGGCTGTTTCATGCTAGGCGCAATACTCAGGCCGCGAATATTGGGTTTTTCCTCGACTATTTATATATATGAGTCAGTGGTGCATTGTGGGTAATCTATTCTGTTGGTTATTTTTGCGAGAGTGGTTTGTTTATTTATCTTTTTATTTGTTTGGGTTAATTTATTTGTTTTTCATTTTGTATTATTTATTCTTTTCCGTTTTTGATGTTTTATTAACGTAGCAAAAATAATTGTGGGGGATTTGCTTAGGTTGCTTATTTATTAGTCTTGGTCTGGGAAGATAATTAAGGTTATTTATTCGTTCAATGTTTAGATTGCTTACTGTAGTCTATTCTGTTATTTTGGCGGGGGTCAGTTTTTAATTTATTTATTTGGATTTATTATTTTTACTTGTTTTTGCATATTTATGCTTATTTATAGTAGTTCTAACAGTTATTTTAGCGGGGGCGATTTGTTAATTTGTTCATTTGTTATAGTAGTTATTGCTATTTTTACGCCCAATTTTTGCATTGGTTGTTGTAGTCTATTCTAACGGTTCTTTTGGTGGGATTGTTCTGTTAATTTGTCTATTATTATTTACTTTATTTATTTATTTGGGTTGATTATTTTTACTTATTTTTATATGTATTATTTTTATTTTTATTATTTTATTTCGTCTATTCTAACGGGAGTGAATTGTAAATTTGTTTATTATTTGTTTGAGTTAATTTATTTTACTTGTTTTTTATATTATTTTGTTTATTTATATTTATTCATTTCAGTTTTCGATTTTAAGTAACGTAGTAAAAAATTGTTTTCGTGTCTGCATTTTGAGATGAGCTCAGATCGTTTATTTAGTATTTTATTTTGGTCTGGGAAGGTAATAATAGCTATTTTTTCCTCCAAGGAAAGTTTGCAGGTTTTTGATTGATTGTTATAGGCTGATGATCTTTTCCTTATTTTCCATGATATTTTTGGTGTGATTTGTGTTTTGTTTTTAATTTCCCAGACATATTTGGAAAGCATTGTGCTGTTCGCGTATTTACTATTTGTGAAAGATGTTTTGTGTGCATAGTTTCTAGGGTCCTTCAGTTACCCCTATGTACACTTTTTCTTCATTATCTGGTGATTTTACCGTGGCTTGGTATATTACGTTGTTTTGTAGACAATTACCGTTTAAGGGACATTCATTCTTTATTCTACAGTTACACGTGGATTTAATTTGTTCTGGTGGTTTGTTGATAGTTTTCTTGTGCTTTTTTAATATTTGTGGCATGTTCTCGGTGCAACTGTAACTGATTTTTACAGTGTTCTTATTGAATATTTTGTGTAGAGTGCTTGATTCCCGGAAGTGTTTGTTTAAGAGTTTAAAGAATATTTTACCTACATTTGTTTTTACGTTTTTCTGTACGGTGGGTTGAACCATATGATATTTCTCTTCCTGTTAGCCTTTTTTCTGCTCTATAGTGAGTATGTGAGTGTTTCCGGGAATCCCCTATTTTTTAGGGCTTTTTCGTAGTCTTTCTTAGCTTCGTTAAATATGGCTTTGTTGCAAGAATTGTCGGAAAGCCTGTGGTTAATCGATTTTGGTATCTGTTTGATTATCGAAGGCGGGTGATTGGAGGATGTATGTATGTACAGTGGTTTATCATTGGGTTTTATAATAAATAAATAAACGCCAGAATAGATTACCCACAATGCACCACTGACTCATATATAAATAGCCGAGGAAAAACCAGAGAGAACTGTTTCGCTGTATCACAGCTCCTCAGTGCGGCTAGACATCCGAATACCTATGTAGTACAGGTAATCGACCCGTTGCCTTATTTTCCTATTATCTGGGTGGATCCTGGTAATATTAATTATTAAAACTGATCCACAGAGTGCTTTTTATTTTAACAGAGCATATGTATTTTTTACAGTAAAAATTACTACAGCATAGATATAGTCTATTTCAAGCCGTTCTGTATACGGCTATCATCAGGGCTTTTTATGTTGAGGGGTCCTCCCCTTTTTACACAAATGGACTCACCCAGTATATACATATACTACTGCTACGTGAAGACCCGAGAGAGGGAGAGTGAAAGTTTGAAGGTAACCGGAAGAGTGAGAGTAACGTAACAGATAGACAGAACGAACGTAGCGAGCAAGAGTCACAGTGAGCGAGACATAAGAATCAGTAAGAAGTCATACAGTGATACTGCAGTACCAAAGACTGTATAGATATTTTGCTACTAACCCGTATTCTTGGAACTACTAACCTGCTTTACCAGTTTGTATTATTACTTTAATATATTATTTTCCTATATTCATTCTTGGCATTTGTTATTTATTGGTACCGGATTTCATCCCTGAATCCACAACATTTTATAAGAAACACCACATAGTAGGAACTGATATTAAACCACAATAACAAATCCTGGCCACCACATAGTAGCAACTGATAACAAGTCCTGGCCATTAATAGACTCTAAACCCAGACCGCCTCCCCCGGGATAAGATATCTTACGCCCCCACCAATCGCTAACACAAGCCCATTCTCATTAACAAGGCGTCTACTAGAGGAGGACTGACATTGAAAATAAATTTAAGAACAATGCTCCGAGACAGACACCTAGAGACTGATGATAGTTGTATACAGAACGGCTTGAAATAGACTATATATATATATATATATATATATATATATATATATTAGGCCGGTGAAACAAATTCGAGAGATAAAAAACAAAATAATATTGATTATAAGACTAATAATATCTGTAGGCCGTTTGACCAAATGGAAAAATAATGAGAAAGATTTTAAAAATTGGAATTTTCTGACACGCCTGTATCCTTTCTCAGCGAGACGAGAAAGAAAAAAAAATGAAGTTAGACGTTTTGTTCCGGGGGAATGTTTTTTTCTTGTCGGCTGATACGTCTCCGATGCGGGAACTTCAATATTAAACTGATTTTTGGAACATGGCGAAGAGCAAGACAGTAACGTAAGTGCAGAAAAAATTCCTCTGGAACTGTTTCGCCTTTAAATGACCCACAAAGTGTTGATATACTGTAAAAATCAAACTATTCTTTTATTTCGTTGTATATTTGATTTGTGTAATTCTCTGTAATGTATTTTATTTCATTCCAAGATTTAATATTTGGAATAAAGAAGAGAAAGAGGGAATGCAGAAAAGAAAGGAAAAGAGAAAGGACATAATAGAAATCATTAGGAAAAAGAAGAAAGAAAAGAACAGAAGAAAAAGCGATAAAGAAAGAAAGAAAGAAAGAAAGAAAGAAAGAAAGAAAGAAAAGTGATAGGGAACGGTGAAAAGTATGGGAAAGAGAAGGAAAAGAATAGAAAGCGATAGGGATGGAAAATGGAGAGAAAAGTAGAAGGCAAGAAAAATGTAATAGGGAATGGAGAAAAGAAAGAAATAGGAAGGAAATGAAAGAGAAAGCAATAAGGACAAAAGAAAGAAACAGAAAGAAAGAAAGCGAAAAAGGAGAAGCGACAAAGAAGGGGGGAAAAAGAAAGAAAGAAAAAAAAAACCCTTCAAGAAAACAAAACAACAACAAAAAAAGAAACGTCTGTAATTTTATTTATTTGTCTACCCCCGAGGTTAAACTCGATATAAGCAAGATCATTTTAATGTTGCCGACCACATGTGAATATGTGGGTAAGCATAGAAATCTGCCTTTGTTTTGCCGTTGGCGCCAGGACATAACAGACTCGCTTCACTTGTACTTTCCCGAAGACGAGACATGACTGATCCTCGCCAAAAAGGATGATGGAGACATTGAATATGAAGAGAGAGAGAGAGAGAGAGAGAGAGAGAGTAAATGAAAATAGGTGTGAAGACGACGGATGGCAAAGAAGAGAGGGAAAAAGAAAAAAAATATAACGAGGAGGACGGTGACAAACATAAAAATGAATGAAGAGAAGCAGGGAGAAGAAGAAAATGAAGAAATGCAAGAGGAGGAGAAAATTATAGCAGATAAAGAGAAGTGGGGGAATGTGACTGGAGATAATGGGAGGTCGGGTGGGGGAGGAAGAAGAGCGCGAAAATAAGGAGATTGAAAGCTTTACGAAGAAGAAAGAGGAAAAGAAAGAAGAGTAAATGAAAGATGTAGAGAAGAGGTGAGGAGGAGAAGAGAAAGAAAAAGAAACAGGAAAAGAAAAAGGGAAAAAGAAAAGATGAAGAAGAGAAGGCGATAGAAGCGTGAAAAGTAAAAGACAAAAGGGAAAGCGAAGAGAAGAAAAAGAAAATAAGTAAAGGAAAAATGGAAGAAAGGAAAAAGAAAAAAGAAAAGGAAAAAGACAAGCAAGAAAAGAAAAAAGAGAAGCAGAGAGAAAAGAAGAAAAGGATGCATAGAAGATGGAAAGGAAAAAGTAAAGGGGAAAAAATAAAAAGAGAAGGTCATGTACGAAAAGAAAAAATGGAAGAGAAAAGAAGAAGAAGAAGAAGAAGAAGAAGAAGAAGAAGAAGAAGAAAAGGAAGGATGCGGAGGAGAAAGAAAGGACAAAGAAAAGGAGAAAATAATAAAAAGAGAATTTCATGCTAGAAAAAAAAAAGAGAACAGAGAAGTAATAAGAAAAGAAAAAGGAAGAAGTAGAGAGAATAGAAGAAGAAGAAGAAGAAGAAGAAGAAGAAAGAAAGAAAGAAAGAATGTATAGAAGAAGGAAAAGAAAAAGAAAAGGGGAAAAAGAAAAAGTCATGCACGAAAAAATATGGAATAGCAAAGAAGAGGAATAGGGAGAATAGAAGAAGAAAAAGAAGAAGGAAAAGACAAAGAAAAAGAAAAGGAAAAAATGTCTGATAAAAAGTAAACGTAAAGAAATAAAACATAGAAGAAAGACGAAAAAAAAATGACCGAATTGCTCTGTCCAACGTTTTTCGGTTTGGAGTGTCCATCTTTAGTTGATGTCTAATCAAGAAAGATTAAGTTCTGTTCTTCAAACCGCCATTGTTCCCAGAACTTGATTTGGCCCGTGACAGAATTTTGTTGCCATCCAATTTGGGAAGCTTCCAAAATCCGCATACTTCTCTTTAGCTTCATTTGAGACAAAATGCTGCCCGCATTAGTGCGTCTTGCTTTGGAAATCTGTTTTCACATTTACTAGCTGCCGACAAATTCTATTTTCGAACCAACGGTACGACATTCACTGTTTTAATTCTTTCTACCAGACTAAAATATCAAATTAATGATCAGCATTTTAATCCTAAGTTTAGAGTAAATTTGGTTTGCAAAATATCAAACAACGTTTGTCTTCACCGGAGCAACAGTTAACCAAAACAAGCAGAGGGATAGGGTTTTACTAATTTCGTCATTAAAAATTCTAAAACAGAATTAATCAACATATAGGATTATTTTTATTAGATTATAATGTTTCATTTATAGAATTTCCGAAACGTCCAACATTACTTTATCAGAATAACTACGTAGCTAGCATCCTAGAGATTTTTTTACAGCGTTACTTAACATAAACTAACCATTTATGAATTAAAAAATATAATCCAGATTTAGACCTTGCCGGACCACATTAAATTCTGGAAAATAGAAATGTATTTTAGACACGATTCTTTTAACAAATGAAGAAGGGATTTGAAGCAATATACATATTGTTCTACAGAAGGATGCTGAGAATAAATACTATGTATAGAGCATGTGAGTAACAAGCTTTTTCTTTAATTTTCACCCAATATAAGGCTTAAGCCACTTAAGGTAGAGGGTTAACATTCATTCAGTAAAGTGGTATGAAGGAAATAGGAGGAAGTCGTAAGTGAAGATTATGAGGATATGGAGAATAGGGCCTCGTAAAAAAAATTGAACAACACTGGAAAATAGTGATTGTGCAGCTCCAGATCATGCATGGGAGTAATTGGTCTGATCTGACTCTTGTAAAGATAGACCATTGCCGGTGGAGTCAAGTACTTTCTGGTGCGATACAAGGAAATGACGATTTTACCAGCATCTTTAGCGATGGGTCGTATATGTGAGCTCCATTTGAGGACTGGGAAGAACTTGAGTCCCAAATAGACCATCACACCAACGAGCTTCGTTAAGAGTGCATTCATTTAAAATAACTGGAGAAAATTGATTTCATTTTTTATCTATCTATCTATCTATCTCATTCTGTTCATATCTATCTCATTCTGTTCATATCTATCTATCTATCTATCCATCTATCTATCTATCTATCTATCTCAGTCTGTTCATATCTATCTATCTATCTATCTATCTATCTATCTATAGAAATATATGTAATTAGGAAAGTAATTATTAATGAGTGTTTGTTTACTATTTTTTAATTCAATATAGAAAATCATTCTTGTTGAAGAGTTTGCTTTTGCACGGTTTATTAAGTTTCGGATAATAACTATTTTGTAATAAGACATTTACTTTTATAGTTGAGAGTGCACCTGTATATGCGAGTTTTTTTTACACGGGGAAGTAGTAAATATATTATTATTAGTGTCTATCAATACATCAAGTAAGGTGATTTTATTGTCGTTAAATTCGTATGTGAAATCAAGTAGAGTTTTACGAAAGTTTTTTTGAAGTTTATGTATTTTGTCTATGATTAACTAAAATGGGAATGTCATCTACATATTTTAGGTAAATGGAGAGTTTTTTTTTTCGGTTTCAAATAAGTTATTTTCTAGGTTAGTCATGTAGAAGTTGCTAAATATTGGTCCTACGATGGAACCCATAGAAACACCATCACATTGTACGTCTATCTTATTTTGATGGTCGTAGAAAGGAACTTCTGTGGTGCACATCTAGATTCTTAAAATATTAAGACTCATTTTTAATGGCGGGAAAGATTAATTGTTGTTGATATTCTTTTTTATTATATCTATTATTTCCCTAATAACTTGTGACTTTCAACGTCACGTGAGGCTATGGTTTCCTTATCAGGTTTTTCTCTTTTTAAAATTTGGAGTAGTTCGTGTGTTGATTTAATGCTGTATTTATTGGGTATATATGGTGTAATTAGTTGATTAATAACTTTGGTTAGTTGGTAAACAGGAGTGAGTATTTGGGATATGATAGGATAGAGAGGGAAGTTAGGTTTATATATTTATATAGTTCCATATATGGATCCTACTGGTTTGTAGTCGTCAGTTATTGTATAAGATGTATTTTTTGTGTGCTGTTTTGAATACTGTAGGAACATTTTATGAACAGATATAATTAATGAGAATATTTATATGTCTATATGAGTCTCTTTCTCTATATATATATGTTGCATGATATAATTTTTGAACTTGGATATGTAAGAGTTTGTACATTTGTTTATATTTGTTGCGTGAAATTTTATGGCAGTATTTATCTAATTATTTACTTTCTGATTCTAATTTTAATTTTAATCTGTATATTTGGTTTTATTATTTATTTAGATATTCATATTTACATAAATATATAATAACTGATATCGTTCTATAACTGATATCGAACGGTTATAAATATAGCTTAAAACTATATTTTTGTCATATTTATTATTTATTTATTATTTCTGTTTTTTATTTTATTTTTCTATTACTTTTTGTATTTTACTGTTATTTAATTATATATATATATATATATATATATATATATATATATATATATATATATTAAAAAAGAAGAGAGGTGCTGCAAACGTTTTTGGTTGTAATGTGGATTTATTTAGAAAAATATTATGCTTTGTTTTACATAATTTTACTACGACACGTGTTTCTGGTCTCCGATGACCGTCTTCCGATCGGATTGCCAACACACAAACAGAGAGAATGTCTCATATCGAGAACATTTCACATTGAACATGAAGAAAAAATTAATTATTTTTAATAATATGTATAAATCTCCACTTTTACCTGAAGACGTTTCGCCTCTCTCTCTCTCTCTGTCTCTCTCTGTCTCTTTGTCTCTCTGTCTCTTTGTCTTTCTGTCTCTTTCACTCTCTCTCTCTACTCTCTCTCCCTCTCTCTCTCTCTCTCTCTCTCTCTCTCTATATATATATATATATATATATATATATATATATGCAGAATTAAGAACATTATAAAAAATGCATAACACCAGTAGACAAGAGCAAAAAAATAAAATCATTTATAAAAAAATTAAAACCGCTAACCTTATAGTTAAAAATAATAATTCCCCTCTTGGAACAAAATTAAATAGGGCAATTATAATTTACGAATTTTAATGTTCATTAAGGAATTGTATTCCTGATCAATCAATAGTCGTAAATAATTATATAGGCCACACTACAACATGTTTAACACGCAGACTCACTCTACACCTTTCTGACCATAACTCAATTAGATCTTATTTAAATATTCATGGAGACCTATCGGACACTATTCGGAACATACTTGTTGACAACACTAATATAATAGCATCATCTACATGCAAAAAAAGGCTAAAAATAATGGAAGCCTTATTAATAAAAACAAACACACCAACACTTAATAATATTAACTTTGAACATGGACATAATATCTTGACCATATTTTGAAACAAAAAAAGAAAAAAAATGAAAACATTTTATAAAATATACATACAACAAACTATTTCTAATTTTAACATTTAAAATATAATACTTGAAAATGGCTAAATGTATAGCCGAAAGCGCTCGGATAAAAAGAATGAATTTATTTAAACAAAGTAACGAATAATAACGAAAATGTACACAATAATATCGTGAAATCAAAAGAAAATGGTTGAATCCGTCAATACAGCAATAATAACAATATCTCCACACAAGACAGTAATTGACGTAATTTTCAGTTAACAATATGAAAATAGCGTTCTCTAAATTCTTCCAGTTGCTAACGACATTTTGTTTTTGTTATTATTAGTTACTTTGTTTAAATAAATTCATTCCGTTTTTTGCCTTGAGTAAGTCCACATTGGACGAAACGCGTCGGCAACTATTAAAGTTTTCCTATTGTCATTTGTATATATATATATATATATATATATATATATATATATATATATATATATATATATATATATATATAATGACGGACTGGCCAGTATGTCAATTTGATGGCATGTGGGATCCTGATGGAGTGCTCTCTTATATCAAATAAAAACGAATTAATGAAACTTACACATACAACTGTTTTACTAACCTTGCAAATTCATCTGAATTCAAATTCAATATGAGAAGACATTTTTCTAACGCTAAAGATAATAAAAAAGGTTTGAGAAATTCGCTGTCTGAGGAAATTTAAGTATCATACATGTTGCTATCCATTGAAAATGAATTGTTAGATGAATTGGATACAGAAACAATTATTAGCAGAATCGAACAATCATTTAATGAACACAAACTAAATTTAGTTGACTGTAATTTTCTATTGTGCTTTTAAATTCAGTATCTGTCCTCAAGGACACATAGCGTTAGTTAGATCCAGTGACAGGACCCAAAAGGTGTGAGTTCAATACCCGGTTAAAGCAGTGGAGAACTTTCAGAGGGAAATTAACAGGAGATAACTGACACTGATATCCATTAAGCATGGCACGTGGAACTAGAACAGTCTACACAGCGAGCGAAATAAAGGGTTCAGTTCGACATTCCAACCACCTGAAGAAGGCCGGAGCGTACAACGGCTGAAACGTTGTGGTAAATATGGCGACAAAGATGAGGACAATAGTCCGAATAATGTAAATACTGTGCTTTTGAATTATCTCTTACTGTGTAAATTGTGTAGTAAACTAAAT